CCACAATAATACAATATACTAAGCCACTCAAAACCTCAGTGGTTTAAAACAATACTCATTTATTTTCACACATTTATAATTTGGCTGTTCTGTACTGGGCACAGTTAGTCATCTCTTTATTTCACTGAAAGGTCAATCCAGGGCTGAGGATGTAGCTCAGTGGTAGAATACTTGCTTAGCCAGTTTGGAGATTCCCCAAAAAACTAGGGATATAAACTCCATATGACCCAGCTATCCTAATCCTGGGAATTCTCCCAAAAGATCTAAAAGTGGCAAACTACAGCAACACAGCCACATCAATGTTTATATCAGCACAATTCACAATAGCTAAATTATGGAATCAATGCAGATGCCTGTCAATAGATGAATGGATTGAGAAATTATGTTATATGTATAATGGAGTTCTACTCAGGCATTAAAAAGAATGAGATTATGGCATTTGCCTGTATTGATGGAAATGGAGAATATCATGCCAAGTGAAATTAGCCAAACTCAGAAACTCAAAGGTTGAATGTTTTTTCTCATTTTATTATAGTAAAATAAAGAAAAGGATGATGGAAGAATAGAATAACATAAAGAACCAATCAAATAAAAATTAGTAGGTGAGCAAAAGGAAGTTTAGTGGAGTAGAGGAAGGAGAAATGGGGAGAACAAGAGGGAAAATGGTGAGGGAAAAGGAGGGATCATGAACTGAAATCAATTTCCAGTTGGATGAATCCTGACAAACTATATATATAACCATAAGGTTCTAAAAAATGTATATATATGAGCTTGCTTAGTATGCATGAAATTTTGGGTTCAATCTCCAAGACAAACAAACAAATTAGTTCAGGCAATTCTGTGCATATGCATCTCATTCTTCTCTTGGGACCAAAGAGCTGGTCAGTCTATGTTCTCATGGCAATTACACAAGCTCAAGAGAGAAATTATTAGTATTAGACTTATGTGGTCCTAATGCATTGACTCTGAATTTGGCACATCATCACCTCCATCAGATCTCACTGGCCAAAGCAAGTCTTATGGCTAAGCTAAAGGTCAAGGTGCAGGGAAGGATACTCCACCCAAGTCCGGGGCAAGGGTGTGGCTGCAGGGAGAAATAAAGAATTAGGGAGAATATAAAAACTAAACAATATTTCTAAAGTCATAACTGTTATAGCAGAGATTCAGTTTGGCTGCATATAGAATTTGTCTTAAGTCTTAGTGAGATTAAGTTTATTTTCTCTGATGTTACAGGAAATCTGGAGTAGCTAAACATGAAGCTGAAATGGACTCCTTGTGATTTCACCAGAATTCAGACTCCTTTTTAATTTTTGTTCTTCTACCTTTAGGGTGTGACCCTCATCTTCACATTCATAATAAGGATACTGGAGTTTTAGTCAAAATATTATTCTCATTTCAGAAGGAAAAGGGAGGATATAGACATAAAATGACAAGGCTTTCCCCAGATTCCTCATTCAGTGATTACATTCACATTCCATTGGCCAGGACCAAGTTACAGGACACACCTTGCTGAAAAGGGGGTTGAGAGATCTTTTTTGTTTTCAAGAGAGTACTATTGGGCTGGGGTTGTAGCTCAAAGGTAGAGTGTTTGCCTTGCAAGCGTGAGTCACTGGGTTTAATCCTTAGCACCACATAAAAATGAAGATATTGTGTCTATCTACAACCAAGGTGGGGGGATGAGAGAGAGAGAGAGAGAGAGAGAGAGAGAGAGAGAGAGTGTGTGTGTGTGTGTGTGTGAGAGAGAGAGAGAGAGAGAGAGAGAGAGAGAGTGAATATACTATCATTCTCAGTACAGAGTTAGTAAGGAGGGAGAAGAAAATGATACTGAATAGGGAATTAGCAGTATCAGACACATAAGGAAGTATTTATGCCAGGGTTTGTACTAGTTTAAAATTATACTTAACATGATGAAATTATTCTTACCATCTTAAAAATATTTAATGTTTTAACTTATAAGTAATATATACTTTACATATTAAGTATATTTGTATACTTAATTGAATTCCGCATCTATAAATAGCCAGAATTTTTTTTAAATTTATTTTTTAGAAGTAGTTGAACACAATACCTTGTGCTGAGGTTTGAACCCATTGTTTGTGAGGCAAACGCTCACCACTGAGCTACAACCCCAGTTCTGAACTTTTTATATATGATGTGCATGCGACTATAGTTGAGTTTATATTATGTATAATTTTTGCATTTGAATTTTAAAAATACAAAACACACACAAAGTTATTGTTCATATTATTTTTAATGATTAACATTTCTTTTTATCAATATTCCTTAAATATCAGATGTTTGGATTTCCAGTGTTGTGCTATTACAAAAATTGCTGCCTTGAACATCTATTTTAACATAGGCTTCATCTACGTTTCAGGAAGTTTTCTAGGAAGAAATAAATAAAATTTACTGCACATTGACCTGTGTATTCTTGAGTTTTGTGTTATGTCTACTAATCTCCGAACACCCTTAAGTATACTATGCGAATTGCGTTCACAATTTGAGAAAATTACTGTTTAAAAATAAGCCTTAGTTATTTGAGACTCTGTTGTTAATGTCTGTTCAACCTTGTTCCACACTTTCATATTTGAAGGTGAGCATAACGAACATTATTTTTAAGTGAGAAAACGACATTATCCCTACTCCTACACAGAGGGTCCTTATCCTGTGCTTCTAAAATGTGCAGTTTAATTTGTTTAAATATGCAGTTTCATTTGTAAACCTTGGGAATTTTGGAGCACCCCGTTACAGACCCCCTTTCAGTAACAGTGCATTAAATAAAACTGCATTATTTTTTAAAACTAGATACTTTTATAAGAAGCCTATTAAGGATCCCAATCTTTTCCCTCACCCCTCCATCCCTCCGCTTTTAAGTCATCCTCTAGGTTCCCGCGCTAGCAAGTTCATATTCTGGTTTAAAACCTTCGTGTCCACATCTTAACCTTTGAGGTGTGGCCCGAGCGAACGTGCCTTTCTCCGTCTGAGATTCCAGTCCTCCGGTTTCTTTGGTTTTAACTCTCCCGCCCTCTCTGGGGAAAGGAACTCCCAGAGGAGCGCGCCTCGCCCACAGGCCCCGCCCACACTCGGGGCCCACCCACAGCGTTAGATCTCCATGGTAACGCGGCGGTAGCGAAGATCTCCCTGCGGCCGCGAAGGCCTCAGCGAAAGCTTGGAGGTAGGGTCGGCGCAGCCACGGCTTCTGCTTTCCGCTCCAGCCAAGGTCAGGCCACTCGGGGCTCCGCGCCCTGAACTGCCGGGGCACCCTGTGAGGAGCGAGCGTGGTGCTGCGGGCAGAGCCGGGGCTGCTGGAGGACCCCGCGGCCGCTGAGAGGGCCGGAGGGAACGGGGGCCGCTTCCGGCCGGAGGCGCCCAGGTCAGACCTCTTAGCCGCGCTGCAGGGGCGCCTGAGCCTTCCAGGCGCAGGTCTCACACCCAACCTGTGAGGGGCGTCCTTCACAGTCTCACACCCATGCCACACTTGCGCGGCCACGTTCTTTGGCTTCTTATTTCAAAACGACTGTTTTAACCGCTTACCTTATGCTATGCACATTTTTAGCTACTAAATATATGAATTCACTTAGTCCTCAATAACTCCGTTAGAGGGACTAATAGTTTCCTCCCCCCCCCCCAGGTGAGGGAACTATCTCCCAAAGGGTGAAGCAAGTGCCCAGACCTCAGTTATGGCCAGGTCACTTTGAAAGCCGTGTGTTCCTAGACAAAACGCCAAATGCCACTTACCTATCCTCCCCGTGCTGATGCTGAGCGTCAATTTTACCTAGAGTAGCGTTTGTTATTCTCTACAAGCTAAGTTCCTCAAACTGATAATCAGGAAAATGAGGAAGCTTGATTAAAACCTACCACTCTTTCCTGGTTTATAATGTCATCGAAAGCTTGGTCCTTGTCCCTGATGCCAATACAACAATGAGGACGTGGTTGGGTTGTTGTTGTTGAGATATTTATTTATTTATTTATTTATTTTTAATTGTAGATAGACACAATACCTTTGTTTTGTTTTTATGTGGTGCTGAGGATCAAATCCAGTGCCTCACTCACGAGAGGTAAGCGCTTCACCACTGAGCTACAACCCCAGCCCAACGACAGTTTTTGAGTAAAAGGAAAAAGATGTTTTATTGCTTTGTTAACAAATGAGAAACACGCGGGACTCCTGTTCCAGAGGCAGTGATTCTGCCCATCAGCCAGAATGCTGGGCTTTTAAAGAGGTGATTCAAAGACTAGGTTCCACTCAGTTGGAGTTTAATTCACTTGTTAATTTGGGAATTTCTGAAATCTTCTACCATCTCCCAAATCTGGGTTACTGCTTTCCTATGATGGGTGTGTACTCAGGACAAATAAATCTGCCTAAAATGGGCAGGAAAGGTAATCCTGTTTCCCTTGAGATTAGGGACAGAGTGAGATTAGAGGAGAGCTGGGAGAAAGGAAGAGAAAGAAACATGTCCATTTTAAAAATAATTTGCAGTGGCAGAGCAGCAAAGGCTATATTCAAATGGTAAAGTGGACTGCTGTTCCAATAAGTGAAATTAATAACCAGGAATTCATTTTTTCTATGATAATTAACTGATTTTTTTTCCTTTAGTGTTTTTTCTTAAATAGAGTTAATATTCCAACTTGGATGTGCAGAAAAGAGAATTTCAATGACCTGAACAAATTGTTTTCCCCCAAATTCCCTTAGATTTGAAAGGTCATTAACTGGATGTGCTGGAATAGCATTAATAAACATTTCCTTTTTTAGGCTGTACTGTGCTGCCTTCATAGGGGATCAGGGGGTTAAGTTTCTTCATTTTTTTCCTTCAAATAGTGCTAAACCTCTAAAGCCCTTCATTTAAAAAGATAAACAGGAGGGGCCTAGATGCTAATAATTAAATAGCAATAAGTTAACAAATAGTATTATGTCTCCTTATAAATAGTGGAGAAACCTGAAGAGAAAAATTAATATATAACTGCAATTATTAAAAAAACAAATCATTGTTTTATTTAGCCAGAATGCCTCTCACTCAAGCAGAAAGTGTTATAAAGAATATCATACGAGAAATAGGACAAGAATGTGCAGCTCATGGGGAGATTGTTTCTGAAACTCTGGTTGCTTTTATGGTAAGAATGACTGTTGTTGCAAATTATTTCTTTATTAACATTTTTTAGTGTGGTCTCCATTTTTCCCTTAAAATTCTGTGAAGCTTTCCTAGATGTTTTTTAGTTGAAAACAAACTGACCTCTTCAGACAAGTTAGTGAAAAATAACTTTTAAATGTCTGGAAAGCATGTCAATTTTTTTTTTAATTTGTAAGATTTTTAAAAATTTTTAGTTTCTCTCTCTCTCTCTCTCTCTCTCTCTCTCTCTCTCTCTCTCTCTTTGTGCTGCTGGGAATGGAACCCAGGACCTGTTGCTTGCCAAGTGCTTTACCACTAAGCTACATCCCCAGCCTCCCTGCTGCCATTCCCTTCCTTCCATACCTACATACTTATCATTTTTTCCTTTCTTTCCTTCTTTCCTTCCTTCTTTTCTGGACAGGGCCTTATTAAGTCACCCAGACTGGCCTGGAACTTGTGATCTTACTGCCTCAACTTGAGTTTCTGGGTGTATCTGTTATTGTTTGGTTAACTACTAATACACAATGAAAATATGATTAAATTTACCATAGTTTTCCAATCTAAAATCTTACCATTGCTTTTAACTTATTTCCCCATATACCCTTTTTAAAAATATATTTTTAAGTGTTAATGGACCCTTATTTTACTTATTTGCATACAGTACTGAGAATCGAACCTAGTGCCTCACACATGCTAGGCAAGCACTCTGCCACTGAGCTACAACCCCAACCCCTCCCCATCTAATTTTTCTAGCACCATTTTCAGATTTGATGTTTACTACTCCCTTTCTTCACCCTGTATTGAAGGAGTTGATGAGTTGGATCATAGGAAAAATACCTAAAAAATCATTTTTGAGTAATCAAGAGGTAGTTGTTTAAAAGAAGGAAGCACAGTAAGTTAATTTCATGATAATATAAAATAAAATTGCTTGATGAACTCTTCCTACTCTCAGGTGAAAGCTGTTGTCCTGGATCCAAGTAATGGCTTTAACATGGATAGAACCCTCATGAAAAGTGATGTGCAGAAACTTGTTAAGGTAATTATATTCCTCAAAACTGGAGTTATTTTCAATTTTAAATATAATATTTGTGTTACCATTATTGCCTTTAGCTGCATGAAAAAGAAAAACTTCACACAATAGAGGTACAAATGAAGGATTTATTTTTCTCATAAAATAATGTCTCGAGATGCATAGGCTATTCTTTCTGTCTTCCTGGTCTACCCATCCCCTTGACAGATGCTTTTCATCCAATTTTTCTTCCCATTTTTTGGTCATAAGATAGCTATTCTACTTGTGGGAAGAAAGAAGAGGAAAAGGAAAAGGGCAAATATAATATGTGTGCCAACTGGATCTGTTACTTTCTTTCCAGAGAATAATAGTTTTCTCAGAATCCCTTCCATATGCTTACATTTATTGGCCAAAAAGATACTTTATATGACCCTGGGACACTGATTTTCTTTTTTCATTCTCAAAGAAATCTTTGCCTCAACCCAAATTAGGACTCTATTAGGAAGGAGGGGCATGATCACTGAGCAGGAAATAGTGTCTGCCACAATATCTGAGTGTTACCTTACTAATTAGTTACATTGAGAGCATTATTAACTGGTTTGTCTTCTACCTATACTGGTAAAGTTAAATAGTAATAAATTAAGATTCATAATGATTCAGTGTAATTTATGTTTTTCAATCCTAAAGAATAAATTAAAGCCAAAGCAAAATAATCCATAGTTATAAATCAAATAGATGTGTCTGAAAACCAGTTTTTAAAAGGCAAGAACTTTAGACGTTTAATATTGTTCATATATTTTACATTTGACTCACTGAATTGAATTCCTTAATCTGAATTTCCTAAAAATTCAACTTTTTTATTTTTCTCCTGGGCTTAATGAACTTAATTCCTTCATGCAGTTGACTTGAAACAAATGTTCCCAGACTTGTATATGGATGTTTTCCTGGGCTCTTGAAAATGACATGGGATAAATTTCATGATTGCTTTTTCTATTTCTATGAGGAATGTCATTGGGATTTGGATTGGAATTGCATTAAATCTGTATAGTGCTTTTGGTAGTATGGTCATTTTGATAATATTAATTCTTCCTATGCAAGAGCAAGGTAGATCTTTCCATCTTCTAAGGTCTTCTTTGACTTCTTTCTTTTTTTTTTTTTTTTTTT